ATGAGAGCTGGGTCCTCTACGTCGACCATACTCGCAAGAGTCAGTGGCTTCCACGAAGAGAATTGCTGCCACACGAACCGAAACCAGGGTTCCACGAGAAGAAGGTTCTTCTCTACTGTTGGTGGGATTCAGAAGGAATTACTATGAGCTCCTGCCAACCGGTACCACCGTGACTGCCGTCGTCTACGCTGCTCAACTTCAGAAGTTGGCTGGCGTCATTCAAAACGAGCGTCCCAAACGCAACAAAGTTCTCCTGCATGACAACGCTCGTCCACATGTTGCGAAGATGACTCGCCAGACAATTTCGGAACTGGGCTGGGAAGTTTTACCCCATCCAGCGTATTCTCCGGACTTGGTCCCTTCCGACTATCACTTGTTCCGGGCCCTCAAGAATCACCTACGGGACAAGGCCTTCGACGATCGAGCACAGCTCGAAAATGATGTCAGGCGTTTCTTCGCTTCGCAATCGCCAGAGTTCTGGGCAAATGGCATCGAGCAGTTACCCATGCGTTGGGAACATGTCATAGACTACAATGGTCATTACATTGTCGACTGAAATTGCATTTCAATAAAGTCATAACATTTTGAAAAATTTGCGCAGTGTTGCAAGACTTTCTTTCCAACCCAATACATATCTCAAGGTCAAGTGCCTTGCCAACTTGTTCCAAGAAGGTGTAATGCATGTTCCATTACACCCTCTTGGACCTTCTTGGAGCATTTTCATTGCCCCATCCCTTTGTTGCTGCGTTAGCTTTGGCATATCTTTTATGCTTTTCAGGGACAATATGACATGCCTTTTTCTTGCCTATGGAAATCTGAACTTTACATAAGGCATGATGAAAACCTAATTGGACATATTCCTGACCAAGTAAGTGCCCAGAGCTCAAAGGTTAACAAGCATAAGCAAATAATGTTAAGGCCATGCTTACTTTTTCAGCAAAGGACAGATATAATGCTATTAGAACTCCTACTATGTGGGCTAGGTCTAGATTACCTTTTACTGCTTTTTTGTTGCTACCGCAATAGTTGTAGGACTAAGAAGACTCCTTTATATTTATGTCAAAAAGTGAGGTTGCACAGTTCCTAGGTGTACCAGGGTCAGCACTGATACAGATACCAGGAAAGCAACATTCCCTACCAAATGTTTACTGTTACTTTTGTTTAATTTAAGCTGCATTAAATGTTCTTCTGTGACATGGCATACAACCAGTATGAGTCGATTTAGTAAGTTAACAGCCAGACCAACAAACCTCCTATCCCCCTCCCAAGAAACACTGCCATCACAAAGAAACAGGACTTACAAGTCTTAGCATGGAAACTCCAGTACGATCCGGTTGGGCGTGATGATGCCCATAGACATTTCATTGACAACCGGATGCTCCTCCTCCAATCCCCCCACTGGTGGATCCTTCAGAGTGCTTCAGCACATAGCAGGAGCAAGACCTTCACGCTTGGACAATTTCGCAACCGACTCCACACCGAGCTCGGAGTTCCATGGCACATCCTGTCAAAGTGACAGAGGATTCCCGAGACATCTGAGCATTCTGTGGTGTGAGAATTCGTAGAAACTGCATGATTGCTGTATTGCCAACTGAATTAAGTAAGCACTTTCAATACAATATCCACAAAACAACTCATGAAGTGAAATTATGCTACTGATAGTAACACCTGACCAATAGTACAAAATATGTATATACATGCTACCATCATAACTACCGACACACCTTTCATAAATTTTCAATGAGTTACCCTCATAAATATGTGTCATGTCATCAAAGACATAATAATAATGTGACCTAGAACATTTTAAAAAGAAACCAGCAAACGTCAACAGTTCCAAACTTGGTTGACTCTAGGTAGCTCCAAGAAAGGTTGGTTAGAAAGTTTTCATTTAACTGTGTCATTAACAAGTCAAACCTATCCTGACCTGACCTAATATGACAAAAAAAACAGTAAAAAATCCCTACTTCTTATACTGCATAGAAAGGGAACTGAAACACCTACCTGATTAGCTTTGGGTCCTATTGTTGTGAGGCTTAGTCAAGAGACTCATCCACAATCTTACGGCAGAGCATCACAATCAGCTGAAATGATTGTTGAGAAAACATCATTTCAAATTATATATATCTATATAATTTGAATTATGCATATATATATATATATGATATTTGACTGAGAGACAGAGTACATTCATAATTTCTGCTGCCTGAATCAAAAATTCATTTATAGGTTTTCTAAGTCAAATATGGATTAGGAAAGTCAAATGCATCGATGTGGTAGATGTTCAACATAAGGCAAGTCCAAAGCAAGAGGCACACAAGGTATACCATACCTGTGTTAGGGGGATGCCTTCTAATTGCATTTTCATATGTAGTTTCAGATACTTTTGCACATGGTACTCCTAATGCAACTGATATTTGGTGATCAACATGTCAGGGTTGGTCCTAGGAATATGCTACCACCTGCTGCTTCACGGTAGTGCATTTAGACATGCAATTACCATGAGAAATTGCTCATCATCTCAAAAAGCATAATTTTATTGAGATTTTTATTGCTGGAGTCAATTTGAGCCAATGATACCAGACACACTATTATAAGAAAAAAACAAGGATACCAGTTCAGGGTTAAGGAGACCTAAAATCTTCCTCTCCATTTTTTCACATGTGAAATGTAGCCTACTGCCCCAAATGATAGGTTGTAGCATATTCCTATGACTAACCATAATATGTTGGCAATTGCCAAATAAGATTAATTGCAAGAAAAGCATCATTTGTAAAAGCACTTAAAGGCCCACAGTGTGAAGATGCAATGGGAGGACATTGCCCCTAACACATGTATGGTATACCTTGTGTATCTGTCTCATTTGATTTTCCTTTTTTCGAACATGCTTTTCCTTAAAGTCTGACATCCACCACAGTGACACAATTGACTAAGAAAACCAATATTACACAATGGACTATGACAGTGAAACCATCAATGATATTGGTTTCACATATTTCGCAGGAACTCACAAATGCCAGCATTTGCATAACAGCAGATGATCGATCAAGATGAAGTACATCTTCAACTTGACAAAGAAATCAAGCCTGCATCTGCAACAAATGACTGTCACATTTGACAGAGGGGATACTCCGGTTGCTGAGACACATCCACCGAGATATGCTCCTCCTCCATGGGCACTCACCATCTACCTCCATCATCTGTGCAAGAAACCTTGACTTTAATAACAGGAGAAGTGAAAAAATTGGCTAAGCCATTTCCACAAAAAGTGAGGAATGACAGGTGGATAAAAGTGAACAGCCATTAAGTTTTGCCTCACTAAAGGATGGTCACTAAATCATGACTAGCTAATCTAGCCATGTAATAAGAGCCACATTGTATACTAGATATACATTTTAATAACAAGTTTGACAAGTGGGTTCCTAAGGCAACATCTCTTCGCATCTCCTATATGACAAACTCAACATCCCTTCTTTTGCATATACTATATGAAGACAATTGTTCAAAGACAATCAATAACATGCAATCCTGCAGGCCTGTTCTCCCCTTGCCTGAGACTCGTGTACCAGGAGAGAGAAGGGTCAAGATTTAGGAACTGTTCACATTTGACTATTAGTCAACAACTGTATAGAAGAAAATTCAAATAAGCCACCAATGAATCCATTGATTTGTTGAAAAAATTGACATGCTGTAAAACCTAAAAATGGATTAAAGTGTTCAAAGCAGATTCATTTCATGTGATGATACCTGTGGAGGTAGCCATGTTCGTTTCTAGATGTCTTCCTGCCGTCTCTCCAGGTCAGCTGTTGTCCCTCTGCACGGATGCATATGCACCTTAAAATGGTCTTCCTCGACCAGCAAAACCCACTAAAGCTGCAAGAATGGGGATGTGCCTAGTTCCATACTATTTTGCTAAAGGTGGATTCCCAGTTTTCATCAGCTGTGGGGGAATTTCAAATCAAATGAAAGTGAGAAGGCACTGAAAGACAACGTGAGAATCAATCAAGTTGTCATCATGAAGTATTCCACAGTATTCTCAGAGAACTCTGATATTTTTCTATGCATATAAGGTGTGATTTATGAATATCACTCATGGTCTGCAGGCACAAAAACACATTGCTCTGAAAACTGACCCTTTTTCAAATGAATAGGGATGAATCCATTCATCCAAGTATTATTCATATCTTAATTACTAATGTTTTAATGTTCAATCACATCTTAGTCATCCTTCACTCACAGAAGCACATGGAACTGTTCATACGAAACTTGCAGAGCTAATGCATTTCCCTCTCAGTTTCTTTTGCTTTCCATGTTGACACACTCCATTCAATTTAGTAAGGAAGCAATATTTGGCAAGGATGAGAGACATCAATGGAAATCAGCACTTAGTCATCCAATTCTATTGGACATAGATCATTGTGTGGTAGTGATGAGGAAATAACTGCAAAAGGCTCATTTGTATTTGTATTGAAATTTGTATGTATGTCTGTAACACAATTTTCTTTGAAAATTTAGCAATATCAGTAATACTTCCCAATTGAGGGGGAAATCATTCAGTACATAAATGTCCCAAGGGGCTGACAACTTAATTTGAGTCAGAACACAGCTTCTCTGTTCATCAGAGGACAGATGGATGCATAAATGTATGTATGGCTAAAATATGAAAAAACTCCTCAGAACTCCAGATGCCGCTGTGAATGGAAAATCACAAATAATTGCTAAACCAAATAACAGAAAAACTACTAAATTTCATGATGTGACATTTTTGGACATTAAATTTAGAAAATCTTAATGCTATTCTTTTATGGAAAACTGAAGGTCTGATGTTCACAGTGCACACAGACCAAGCTTACCCTAATTCTAATGGGAAATTTTTACACCAGTCAACATTATCATTGAAACTCAGTTTGAAATCAGCTTTGCCATGCAGCAATTAACAACTCATGTTCTATTAATTGCTCTGTAGCCTGCAACCTAGTGTAAAAACAAGCCATTCATTAGAGATTTAAAAGCTAACCAGGTAGATAGAAGTTGAAACATAAACTTTACGTACATTTTGGCTAGTAGACGATGAATGGTGACTTGCACTTTTTCATGCATAAAATGTACTGGTTTGCATTAATTCTGTTGTGCAAACATGAATGCTTTGAAAGTGACTGCAAGAGTCCACTGTCGTGTTCAGCGAGGATTCCAAACAGGGAGGAATATTCCTGGCATGCATTCTTAAATGGGGTGAGAGGAATAACTAAGAATGGATGGGATTCACCTCCTGTTTTTGTCTGAGGTATTGGGATTTCAGCATGAAATTTATAAAGCATTTGAAGCCTGAGGATTGACTTCAGAGAATAACTCAAATTCACTGAAGCACAGCCTTCAAGAGAGGTGCTTGGAGGCATCTGGTAGCTCCTGGCAGCCCATTCATAAATGACCTCCTGGCAGTAAGGGGATCATAATCCTTGTCCCATGTTTCTCTCTCTCTCTCTCTCTTTGGGAGAAGGATAAAAACAAACCAATAGTTTAGTTTGGCAAAGGATTGATTAGCATTGAGGATATCAAATCTCACTCTCAAAGTATCAATATCATCATTCAGCAAGGGCCACTTCTCTGAGACATCATTCTTCATAATGGACGAAAGACATAGAGACATAGAGGGGAGCCTTGGTCCATGGATGGGACATCATGAGGGGCACACCCCAGTCAACCTCAGTGGTAGCGATCTCAATTTGATAGGGTTACTGCTCCTGCAATAATACAAAGCTCTATGCTGAGTGTAAATGTTTAGCATCTGACCCTATATCTGTTTGAGCAACTGTAGGGCATCATAAAAATTTCTGCATTGGTTTTCAAAGGATCAAGGTGAGATGAAGTTACCTGAATGATTCTAAAACAGTTTTTACTGTAAATATGATTATACATTATGATTAGGGCAATACTAATCCATAGGCAACTAACAGTATAGATTGCTAATATGGCACCATCCGTGCCATCAGCCATCGATAGGTTGAGGAACGGCCAATGCCGATGCCCAGAGTAGAACAAGCTAAAGAAAAAAAAAAGAGAGAATGAGCAAAGGTAAATGATTCTAAACAGCAATAAATGAGTGGATCTGTCACATTGTGATGGTCACATTCCCCTCTCCCCTACTCCCACCCAGATCATGGATGAGAGAAGGTTGAAGACGGAAATAGGTATGCATCCATATCGAGGTAAGGAATGACAGATGCAAAACCTCTGCTCAATCAAGATGTGAAATGACTTGTTCTCTCCTAATGCTTCAATGATTCATTGATAGCTTGGGTCAATGAATCTTTGCTGTTAAAACAGGCAAAGTAACAATATTGAAAAAAAGACAAAGTAGAACATGGCTCCATAATGGGCCCATTTTATTTTAGTGCAAGAGCAGCTTGAATTTTTTTAAAGGAAAGCATACAAGAAAATATACACTCTGAACTTAGGAGTAGGATAAGTTGATGATCATGGTGTACAATTATCAATCTGAAATCTTTGGCTGACTGTCCAGCTGCAACCTATCTTCAGTCATAGAATGACTTCTCTTTGTACAAGGAAAATGAATATAAAGTCAGAAGCAATTGTTATTGGAATACCACCGGCCTCTGAATGAAACCTTCCTTCAACCGTATCTCTTGTATGACTTAAAATTACAATGGTAGTTTTGTAAGCTTGAGTGCATTAGCTTGAGTCATCAATGGGGTATCAATGCTTCTCCAAAATATATGTAAATAAGATGTGATTAGTAACAGAATGGAAAAGAAGCAGATCACTTTGGAACAAGGCATGTGTTGAGCCATGAATCATACAGGGTATGTTTGGCACTGCTCTCCAGTTGCATGCAGGAAGTGGGGCAGATAAGTAGGGAAAGAGAAATGAAGGCTTTCCCAAAGTGGCTCCCATGATGATCCTGCACCAGTGTCCTTCCCTCTGCATTTGCTCCCTTCATGCCATTTTCAAAACTCTGTGCAGCTTCTAGGTTCACAGGTATGCATGCATGAAAGTATGGCTTAGCCCTTCACTTCCAGTCTGCCAACTTCCACTAATTGGATGGGCTTGCATTGCCTTTTTCCTCAAAGGAAACATGAACTTCCTTCTACTTTCTCATCCCTCATCCCCCATCAGGGTAGGGGAAGGTGTGGTCACCACAAAAGGGACTTAGAGCCATCAATGCCTTGATCAATCGATAATGACACCAATACATTAATTTATGCAATATGATACTCCCTATTTTTCTATTCAATACCATGAAACATTTCTCAACCTGTGTCCATGTGCATTTTTTAAAAACACCTTCAGACCCATACCCTTCACATGATGTATTATGTCCATTGAGCACTCAAATTATGGGGTTGAAAGGGTTTCTTTTCTCCATTCAGCACATACTTTTTTTGGCATTGGCAGGGTGCAAACCTGGCTTTGACAGGCACCAACAGTGCCATACTGGCAGCTCATATCAGTGGTTGCCAAAGCATCGGCACAGCCCCATTCCTATTGACTTAGTCCTGCGTGGCTGGAGGGTAGAATGTGGTTGGGTGCATCAGCTCTGCATTTAGTACAAAGAGTTAATAGAACCCAATCCTCCAAACAACCTTCACACAAGACATGAAACTTGAAATCATCCTATTACCACTTTCTAAATAATCTTGTGAGCAGGATCATGGACTCAGAAAGGCCAAATACTATTCCAATTCCTTGCATAAAACATGTCTGCATGGGGCATAAAATCTGCCTTGTACACAAACAGGATGGAAAAGTGTTCTGTTCCAAGAGAAATAAATAAATAACAAACAAGAATATAAGAAGAAATATGAATGCTGAAAAGGATTTGACGCAGAAACATTCAGCCATAAGTTGACTGAGTCAATTTGAATATGACAAAATGGGAACATAACAGATCTGCCTTGCTTCAGAGGCCCATGAATTGAATGCTCTGATGAAAAGTTTGAAATGGCAAGCTGGACGATCATTCTAAATGTTGACACAGCTCATGACAGCAGAGATCACAATTACTAAGCATGAGTCAAGCAAAATGTTGTGTATCTAAAGCTCACAACCTTGATTTGATCATGTTTGAAGTGAAATGGGTGTCATTTAGAAAATTTTCTTGACCTGCAAATGATCTTAGCCACATTGCAATAATCAGCCATGAGCAAATGAAGAAGCAGATAGGGCCTTTGTGACTGTACAATGGTTTCTGAAAGAATACACATGGATGTATGGGAAAATCTATACTAGACCTTTCCATATTTTTGGCGCTTCAGGGCAACATGTGTATTATATGCAAAGGGTTACATACTTTTCCATTTAGGGACTACTGCACTAAGTTTTGGCTTGCATGCATTTCTATTGCTTCTGATGTACAAACCTGGGAAGATCACAGAGAGCACCTAACATCTTAGAATTCCCTGAGATGATCTTCCTCATGTGGAAATCTCAGCAAAGCCCCAGGAGGCAACTAAAGTGTCTTATCAACTTGCTCAAATTTCACAAACTGGTGACTGATGAGAAAGATTGAGGGAATTCCATGGACACAATCTACTTTGGCATTGGAAAGCATTTAGATACTTCTCAAAAGAGGATGCAGGCTGAATTTGAGTTGCATATGGTGGGGAAAGCAAATGTATAACTAACTGGTAGCTGGGATGAGGGCAGATGATGGAATAGACATCAATTTAATCCTATCTTAGAAAAAGTAGCATGCCCAGTACCAAGCTGGACAGAAGTCGATTCTCTGAGAGGAATCCCATATGCCATCAGTATGAGAAGGTTGCATGCAATTCAACAGCCTAGAGCAAAGAACTGGAGAATTGTAAACTTGAAAAACTAAATGCCAAGTTTGAAATGGAATACCTTGGCCAAAGATAAACTTTCGCAGCAAAAACCATATTCACTTTGCTGCACTCTGTTATTGCAGGGCCTTGATGTAGGCCTAAGCTTGATGCTGATAAAACACAGAATGAAACTTGCATGTCAAGAATATTTAAATGCAGTTGCCAAGGCTAACTTCTTGTTCTTGTCTTAAGCACTACATTGCAGGAAGGAATGGCTACAGCATGGTGCATGCTGTTTTAGGGACAAGATAGATAATTTTAGTTCTGTTATAAGTGAGAAGAAGGTTGACATTCAAAATTTGGGGGATGGAGCAATATTACAAACCAAACCTCTCCATGGGTCAATGTCTTGAGTATTCTGCCTGGGATTGGTTCATAATGGCATTACAAAAACACCTCCATGTTGCCCTGGCCCAGCCTAAACATTTTTGAATCTCCTCTTCATGAAGGTTATTTTACCATCTCCAGTCACTTCCTCATACACTATCCCATTATAGAGGTGTGTAACTCACATATAATCAAATAATTACTCCCTTGCTCCTTATTATGAATGACAGCAAACACTTCTGAATGTCAAGCCATGGGTTAACCAGCAGACTAATAAGTTTTTTCAACCCTGAATACCCATGAGGAACATTAGGACCATGGACATTCTCCAAAAACAAATTTGCCAGCTTAACCCGAAGGCACATTGACTTCACATTCTTTGTATATTTGTTTTGCTCATTAAAAGGGCCTAGGACAGTTAGAATTGCACACAGTATACATGAATGAGAATATCAATATAAGGGCTAATGATCGTGAAATTCTCAAAAATCAGAAACATTTGTCTTTGGGTGGGATCTAATCACTATTTATACTAGCAATGTGCCTAGATATACTACAAGATACCCTACTTATACTAGAAGATGCAGTTTAATATGCCTTCCACCCTGTAATGCCATCACCTCTCAAATGACCACAAGGGATCAGAAGGATGACATCCTTCTCCTTCCTCGTCGGCATGCAAGCTGGTGCAGCCCCGGATCCAGAAGGAAGGCATGGCCCTCCGTGAAACCTCAAACGCCACAGAGTCGACTTCGATGCTCTGATGACCTCCTGAGGGCCAAATTGCCCCTGCATTCTGCAGAGAATGTGCAATATAGAGAAAATGCAGCACCTTCTAGCTCCTCAAACAGCTTAAAAGAAACATCATCTAGCTGAGATTATATGTTAACAACTGGAAACCTGGCATAGATCTACTGATTCTTGCACATTGTAACATGCAACAATTAAAAAGCAATTTAATTCAGAGAATGCTTCTTGATCCTTTAAGGAGAGTATTTCATCAACTGTGTCTACAAAATGGCAAGGGGAGGCAATGAAATCAGCCAAAATAGGCCTTTTGGGGGCAGGAACAAAATAGGCTAAGAAGACAAGAAGGTCTGCTTTGGCACAAAATTCCCTCTTTTCGGTCTTTTTGCATACTTGTGTCTCTCTTGTTGCAGAATTAGCACAAGGGTAGCTTGTGCTTTCAATAGCAGTTAAGCTGCAAAGGAAGAAGTAGAGGTGGTTCTACTGATCATCAATGTGTCCCCCAGGAATATCAATGCCATCAGTAAAAGAAATACTCAGTTGCACAAAAAGATCATGCTTGCAAGGAAGGAAACTACAAGTACAACATAAAGTTAAGCAATGGCACTTATAGAGTGCAGGTTTACTAGTGAATGAGCTGATAGTGAAGATTATGACTTCCATGCTCCAGGAAAGTACAATGCCCACAAAATCCATACCAGAACATAAATTAATAAAACTAGCTTCTAGCACATCACCAATGAGCAGGAAGACCTAGTGGCAGTACAAGTTAATATCTGTGTGTGGAGTCTCTAAACTTGCCATGGGACCAGTGCAGGGGCCAGTCTTATGTAAAGTCATATGAGGGTGATCTCAATTCTATACCTACCCCTAAAATTTACAGTGCACATGTAATCTGTTAGTTTATGCCTATATTCCAGCACTTGTAGATTAGAGGAGGATATTGAATTAATGGACAGATGAACCATTGTACACTTTGAGGAACAGTCACTGGAACTATTAATAGTCAAGAGGTCAATGTCATTGAAACTGAGCCTTAATGTTTATACCGTTCATGCTAATCCATGAGCAGCTGATGCCTTAGAATGCATGAACAAAATTTGCATATCAAATATGGAAATCACTGAAATTCACGCAAAAATGAAAATGCTGGAAGGTGAACTGATAATTAAAATGGCAAATTACAAGGCTAGGCACCTCATCTGCGTGGAGAACTGCACGTAGAACATTGAGAAATCCTTCAAGAGATCCCAATCGAGACGATTGCTTAGAAACGAAACCTCTGAACCTGAGATCAAAAGACAATAAATGGAAAAAGTACATTTCGTATCCAAAGAAGGTTGAGGAAGCGGCTAGGCCTGTCACGATTTAATTTTGGACCTAAGCGTAAAAATGCTTCCTAAAGCGGAAGACTAGGCCTTACAATTTATTCACGAATTCGAGCATTTCCCAAAGGCATATGCAAATTCCAAGCACGTGCCATGCGGATGCGAGGAAACACCGACCTTCTCTCGGCCTACCGCATCCTGCAGCTCCAACAATCCGCCTCCACCCATTCGCCTTCCGATGGAAACCCACGACCCATCCGAACGCGATGGAACCTCCACTCGAGCACGTGGCGGGCTTCCGGGCTCTCGCGGCTGTCATTCTCTGACGTCGGGTGACGTCATCGTGACGTCACACCTGCTGAATTCCGTCATTGGTTCGCCTGATGTGAATCGTCCTTATCCCTCGAACGTGAATCGGCTGACAAAGGGAAGAAATGGAGTCGCTTCGTTCATGCAATTGAATTATGCCTATTCCGTTCCTTCAGCTCCGAATTGCGGAGGATATTGAATCTCGCGTCTTGAAGATATAAATACCTTTTTTTTCTACCACTCGTGGAGGATTTCGAGATTACCCATCCAAAAGATTGGACGTGTAGAATATGATAAGTGCGCTTTTCGTTGTTTACGCTGCACAATTTCGCTTTTAAAAAGTCATATATTTCATTTATGCTTGGCGCGGGCTCCAGTTGCGTTTCCCAAGATTGCCGGATAATCGGGTTTGAGTTACCTTAGATTCATGAAGGCTTCCGCTTCGGCGTCTGTGCCTAGGTCTTTTTATTTTTACGAATAGCAGATTTTGGCCGAGTCCATGGGCTGGAGTGAGCTGAAAACCATTTTCAGCGATGGCCAATCGACGCTTTGGGTTTACTGAGAAATCGCCTTCGGACATCACTTGCTCGACCGGATGGCGTCCAGCATGCATGCGGATTCTGGAGGCAGTCCGTCCGCTGGCCTTGTCGAAATGGGAACTCATGGTGGGCTTCATGGTGCATGTTCTCTCTTAAATGATTCGCCGAGGTCAGGATAGGTCTATAATCGGCCTCAGCACGTGATGTGATTGATTCAACTTTGATTTAATGCGGATCGAATGAATCACTGCTGAAGGTTTATGCCTGTTCATAGGGTCACGTCTATTATTGCCTACTATGGAATGTTGAATTTGCCTACATCACCTTGATGGATTTATTGAGTCCATGCAGAGTGATTTGATTTGTAATACGATTCTTCTTTCCCATACAGCTTTTGAAAATGCTTCTAATGCTTTGCAATCATATATGAAAGGTGTTCAATGCTGCCAGGAGTAGGAGTTGGTGCGAGGACAATTTGCATAATCTGGGAAGGAAGGAGAAAGCATTTCAATGGTTCATTATCTTCAGCAACAACATCCCAGAGAAATAGCAGCAGCTGAAGAGCCAACACCTCCACAACCCTGGCTTTCGTCATGATATTAAAGTCTTTTTCACACTTCCGTGGCCTGTCACACACTCTCACTGAGTGCTGGTAATTAAAGCTGGACTTTCGTCTCACGCGTACTGTCAGTTGGTTTTCCCATCTGACACCAGACCCTTAAGTCCACCGCACACGAGGCAATTTTTGCCGTGGGACCGTCGCTCCACACAATATTGCTCCGTGAGAGTAGTGTAAAAAGGGTATTATCTGCGGGTGGAGCAATGATGGAGCAGTGGAGCTTCAACTTATCATTCATTAAATAACCTTAATTTCATATGAATTATGATGACCCATCTCCCTACATCCCCCCCCCCCCTCAATCCAAGTCGCGCTGATGACACTCGGACACGATTTTCTTGATTCGATCGGCCACGTTAGGTACTTCTTCCGTCCTTGGCTTACCATCCCGGCATTGAATTGGTTCACCTTAAGCTCCGCCGGCTCTGTTCCTTCCTGATTGCATCGATGGATTTCCAGACAACTGGATGAGAAGAGGCGATAAGACTAGCAAAACCTCTGTGCTCTCCCTCTTCGATTTTGTTGTTTGTCTTCGGAAGGTCTCGAAGTGTTCCTTTCGCATTGATTCCAGAGCTTGATGTCGAAATTTGGAGCTCTTCAAGTCGCAGCGGTCGACCATTTCTCGACCGCTTGCAGTTGCACCTTCGAAGACAACTGCTATCAGTCGCAGTTGTATTCGAAAAAATCGGTTGGGGAAGTGATGATGGCATTGTTGTTTTCACCCTTGAGAAATGGAGTTTCCATCAGATCTTCGAATGCCTTTTCAACGTCTTCGGCCGGAAGGAATGCCAAGGCGGAGATTTTTCGAGCATTGAAGGCGAAATTAGGGTCTTTTGCATTTTGATTTCGTACTTGCAGTTCCCACCAGTTTGCGCCAGATGCTTTGATTGAAATGAAAATAGCATTCTCGCATTTCGGCGTTCGGAAACACATCCCTAAAGGCGTTGATTTCGTCTTGTTCGAAGTCAAGTCAGCATCGACTTAAGATCTATCCCAGGCTTTTTCTCGCGGATGATGCGAAGGGTCTTCACCTTTCGACTTGTTTGGAAGCAATCAGCCATACAGTGGTCGGATTCGGCGAGAAAGGTCACATGCTTTTGAGTGGCGAAGCCTTCTTTGCCAATGCTATTCTGGTTGCTATTTCCTTTCTACTTCGTCCATCCCCGGTTATCTTACTTCCCAAGTAGCAAAATTCATCAACCTCCTCCAGCTCTTCGTTTCCCAATCGTACTTGCAATTTTCCCACCCGGTTTCTTCCGCACACCATCACCTTTGTTTTGTTTCTATTTATTCTCATGTTGTAATTGTCCCATAGCACTCCCTCCATTTCATTTAAAATCCTTTCTAAGTCTCTTTCTTCCTCCGCTAATATTGTGATGTCGTCTGCGAAACGAATCATGCTGACTTTCTCTCCATGAATTGTCACTCCTAAGTACATTATTTCTCCGAGCTTGCTTCTTCATCGCAGGGATGAAGGAAGCTGGCCTTGAACTGCTGTTGATGTCTCCGTAACACAAGTTGCCACGATGGCTTGTGGAGGTTCCATCTGAGTGGCAGCACGCACTTTGATTCCGTATAGCACGCGTTTGACTCCGACTTGTGCAGGACGAACTGGATGATCGTGCTTCTTGCGGCCTTCTCTGATTCCCTCGCTGTCTTGAATCGCTCTTCCCTTGCATCCCGACTTGACCTCGATGCATCTCCAGTATATGGTCCCATTGCTTCCAAGCGAATCGCGTTCGTAAATATACCCGTTCAGAACGAGCTCTTCGTTTCCTCTGTGACTTTAGACGAATTCAGCCATGATATTGAACTCCTGATAGAAATCCTGACTGAATGAGGTGAGGCGTCTGTACGCTTTTCTATGGACATATATGCGGAGATACCTTCAGCCTAAAAGTCGACACTGTGTTTAGGATTAACGGGGATTAAAAAGAGGAACTGGCGGGTATCGGCCGAAGTGAAATGAATAGCCACAATATACCATAATGATATATGATCTGTTTGCTCCAATGCTCCAAACATCGGCATCTTACTTTCCTTCCCATACTCCCAGGGGGCACGAGGGGGTTGTCAATCAACACTCAACTCGGGGCTTGTCTAAAACAATATTTAAAGATTTTCTCACGTGATCCTCAGTAGGGAGCTCCACCATTCAACCTTCCTCCGAATCAACGCGCTCCTATCTCCAAGATAAATGCAGGTGGCCGGGCATTCTCATTTCCAGTGATTCGAGATTCCGTCCTTTCGAAATTCTGTCCGCATACCGTTTCTCTTCGATGGTCTTCTTCCGGAGTCGACTCTCCCCTTCGAGTCGTGGAACTATAGTATATGGAGAGGTCGCCTCCAATTTCACATGCGCTAATACAGATTTCAGTACCATAGCATCATCCCTCTCTTCTGCGGAGTGACAGTAGAATCCATTTTTCCCAAACTCAATTCGCTTGTAAATGGATGAATTTGTACTTGTAAATCTTCCTTGTACAATTTTCTTTTGTGGAACAGAAACTTGATTCTACAAGTAATAGACTTGTAACTTGTAGTTTGTAAATCTTCTGTGGAATTGGCCCCAGCTGTTATTGACTTTCCCCCCTCACGCACACATGTTAAATTACTTTTACAAGGGGATTCTCTCGCTCTAGCTCGATGCCTCTATTCTCTGACTTAGAGTCGTCTGGAATCCAGCAATCTGTCAGACAGATGTGTTGAAACCTGAAATTTCAACACATGTTAGGATGAAGTGAACGTCCTGTTGTGTATTCGAGAGGGGAGACCATGCTTATTTTGATAATGATTCGCTGCTAAGCATTAATTCACATGGCTCTTGGTGTCCCGCTCGATAGACATTCTTTTGGGTTTCATTTCCTTATTTTTCTGTTTCAATGAATTGAAATAGATTTTCACGAGAAATGTTTTATCAACAAGATTAAATATGAATCAAAGTGTGTCGTACATACTGATGAACATATAGATTTAAATCGATCCAAGTTGGTATACATATGCAGCGGTTGAGGCAATCGGGGACACTGCTTTTTATTTCTCCCCTCCTTGTTTCACTGCTCCTGAGGAATCGATGACCGCAACAAAGAAGGGAATGTAATCGTTACTCACTGTCGAAAAGAGCGCAAACAAACGCCTTCGATTAGTTCATGGCCATGGCATGGGGACTGAATTGAGATTCCTGAGAGCCGATTTCCTCCAATTCCTCCAACTCTCAAATCAAGGTCCTTCCCCGATGACAATTTGAACTCCTTCTATGATTGGTTTCTTATGGCGCTTAAGATTCACGGTGCAGCCTACATAAGAGGTTACTTTCACATGACGCTTTTTCTGATATAAATAATATATGCAAATTAGAATTTAACTTTTATTTTTTTTGGGGGGGGCGAGCAGCTCATAATTTGAAGGAAATAGATGCATTGAAGAAACAATGCAATAGAAAGGAATGTTGTTTGTGCACATTTGTTTACATTGTCTGGGATTGTATTATCCGATTCAATATGAGAATTAACATTTTATTCGTGAATTTTTTAATTTCACTTATATGCATGTGAATTATTAATACACAGCGGATAACCTCATAACTCCTCTTTCAAAATTTCAAATAATGAATTCTAGTAGGCTACAAATTCCACCACATCGTTTTTCACACCATTTTAATGAAACTTCATGTAGCTGTTCTACTCCGAAGCCGGGCGTAGGGGGAATAAATCCAGGGCTGTTTCCAGGC